GCTGTGTCGGGCAGTACTACAGAGGACCAGGGTGGAGTGCCGAGGAGTAGGGTGGAGTGTCGGTGGATGCCGAAGAGGCCTCTTAGAAGCTTCGTAGAAGCCTCTTAGAAGCCTCGTAGCGGCTTCTCAGAGCCCTCGTAACGGCCTCGTCGAGGCCTCGTGGAGGTCTCTCTGAGGCCTCGTAGAGGCCTCATATGGGCCTCTTGGAGGCCTCGTGGAGGCTTCGTAGAGGACTCGTATGAGGCCTCTTAGATGCCTCGCAGAGGCGTCGTATAGGCATCGCAGAGGGCTCTTAGAGGCATCGTGGAGGCATCCAAGAGGCACCGTAGAGGCCTCTCTGCGACGGGCAAGATTTCCTCACGTTTCAGAGATTGAACCGGGGAGTAAACCACTTGGACCGTCGAGTTCCCCACTCCACCAATGCATAAACCATCAAACCGGCGTGTATACTTCAACCGCTTAGCTACCCCCCCCCCTGAGATCCCCCTTGCCGGAAGCCCCCCCCCCTGCCCTGGGCGAAGGAACGGGCGCCGAAAACCACAGGAGCGCCGAAGACCAACGGGGCGCCGAAAACCACTAAAGGGCGCCGACAACCAAAAGGGAGCCAAAAACCTAACCAGCGCCGAAAACCAAAACAAGAGCGCCGAAGAGCAAAAGGGCGCCGAAAACCAAAAGAGCGCAAAACACCGAACGAACGCCGCGCCGAAACCCCAGAAAACTGTGAAAACCAACGGGGCGCCGGAAACCAAAGAGGCACAGAAAACCAAAAGAGCGTCGAAAATCACAGCAGCGCCGAAAAAACAAAACGGCGCCCCAAAAAAACAAACAGCACCGACACCCAAAAGGGCACCCAAACCCAAAGGGTCGCCGAACATGAAAAGGACGCCAGAAGCAAAAGTGGCACCGAAAACGAATAGGAAGCCGACAACCACAGGGTCACCAAACATCAAAAGGGCACCGAAAACCAAAGGGGCGCCGAAAACCAAAGGAGTGCCGAAAAGCAAGAATGCACCGAATTCCAAAAAGTGCAGAACCAAAAAGAACACCGAAAACCAAAGGGGCGCCGAAAACCACGAGGTGCCGAGAACCAAAGGAGTGCCGAATAACGACACGGGGCCGAAAACCAAAGGGGCGCCGAAAACCAAAGGGGATGAACAACGAGAACCAAAAAACCACAAAACACACAAAAAAAAAGAGCCGAACACCAAAGATGCGCCGGAAACCAACAACCGAAAGGAAACCGAACACGAAAGAGGCACCGAAAACCAAGAAGGTACCGAAAATGAAAGGGGCATCGATAACCAACAGAAACCGAAAACCAAAGGCGCGCCAGAAACCAACGATGCGCCGAAAACCACGAGAGAGCCGAAAACTAAAGGGGCGCCGAAAATAACTGACGCTCCGAAGACGGACAGGGCCCTGGAAACAAAAAGGGTGTTGAAAACGAAAGGGGCGCAACAAAAACCGCAGGAGAGACAAAAACCAAAGGTGCACCGAAAACCAAAGTGGCGCCGAAAACCAAAGGGCGCCGAAAACCAACGATGCGCCGAAAGCCAATGGGGAGCCGAAAACCCAAAGACACGCCGATAACCAAAATGGCGTCGAAAACCTGAGAGTGCTGAAAACCAAAGGCGCGCCGAAAGCCGGAGGGTTCCAGAAACCAAAGGGGCGCAGAAAACCAAAGAACGCCGAAAACCTCAACGGCGCCGAAAACCAAAGGGGCTCCGAGCACCAAGGCGGCGACGAAAACCAAACGGGGCGCGGGAACCCGAGAGAGCGCCGAAAACTGACGATGCACCGAAAACCAAACAATGTGCTCAGAAAACCATTACACCAAAACACCCCCCCAACCAGTGGATGGTTTGATCGATAAAGAGATCGGCCGGGAACCCAAGAACCCGGAACCCACCGAAATCGGCCCGGAACTAATAACCAGGAACCCGGGAACCTGTAACCAGGAACCCGGGAACCCAGCCGGCCACCAAAATCGGCGGGACACTTCCGCCAAATCTTTCAATTTCCGCAAGGACCCCTTCAATGCAAGCACTGATTGGGAACAAAGGGGCGTCGAAAATCAAAAGAAAGCCGAAAACCACACGAGCGCCGAACAAATACGAAAATGATCGCAGATAACAACCAAAGGAGCGCCGAACACCGATGGGGCGCCGAATGCCTAAAGGGGCGTCGAAAACCAAAGATGCGCCGAAAAACAACAAAGAGGCGCCGAAAACAACGAGCACGCCGCAAACCAACGGGGCGCCGAAAGCCAAAGGCGGGGGCCGAGAAGGAGGTGGAGGGAGGAGGGAGGAGGGAGGGGGGAGGAGGAGGAGGAGGAGGAGGAGGAGGAGGAGGAGGAGGAGGAGGAGGAAGAGGAATAGGAGCAGGAGGGGGAGGATGGTCGATGGTCTGAGTGGAATGGGCCTCCCTCCTGGTGATCCCTCCCACCAAGTAGCTTCGAAACCCCCATTCAACCAGGCCCTCCAGTAGGACAAGCCAAGAGGTGGAGCCCGGGCTTTTACCCCGGGCTCCGAAAAAGGAGGGCGGGCGGTAGCTTCCACGCTCCCGCCCCGTAGCCGGGGACGCCCCAGCTACAACATCCAAACAAAGGGAAGGGGGGAGATTCGGAAACCCCCATCCCCTTTTGAAAGGGGAGCCCAGGCTGACCGTGGGCCCCAACAGGGGAGAGGGGGGGGGGAAGGTAACTTCCAAGCCACCCCACTTTTTAGCCAGGGCCCCCCACGCTAAAGCATGCTCACAACAGGGGGAAAGGGCGGGGTAGCTTCGGAAGCCGCCCCCCTCTTTTCCTTTGGGAGGGCGGGGCAGCTTGAGTCTGGGCCCCCCGTTTGGTGAGAAGTGTGCCGCGAGGGCGCTCTTTCGGAGTGCGTGCTGGGGCCAGGGGGCTGGGGCGAGATCTCGACGGCCTTCGAGGCTGGCGCTCGAGAGCGTAGACCGCCCCCCAAGAGCTCCCCCCCACGCTGTGCTCGGGGGTAGCGGCGCCATCTGGGGGCTGCGAACCTGGCCGCGCCCCGCTCTGGGCAGGGCATCTGTTGGGCACGCGGGCGCGCGAGGGCGAGTCGAACGCCGAAGCAAGCTGGGACGGGCCGCGCCGAAGCGAACGGCGCCCGTCACAGAGCGGAACTGGGCACGACGCAGCCAAACTGGCGCGGGACACATCACAAAACGGCCCCGGGCTCTGGGCATTCGCACGCCGTCGATAATGTTGAGCGAGCAACGACATATGTACATGTACGCCCTCCGCGATCTTGAATGCACGAACGTCCTCGTTCAAACGCCCTCCAGGGGAAGCTAACCGCGTACGTGTACATATGTTGCTGGCCTTTGAAATGTCAGCCGTGCGCACGGTGCACAACGGCTGCTGCTGCTGCGCCAAGCGCGCATGTGCTGCTCGCCTTCGCAAACCTGTGCCGCGGCGCGGGCATCCGAGAGAGCAAATGCACGGCAACTGCGTGAACATGGCCCTGATATCAGGTCGGGCATGTCCCCCTACGGGCGGATTTCGGACAACAAATAAAACATAGCCAACACATCTCCCAAACTGGTCAAAATAGTCGAAACATCCTCCTCAGACTTGTTTATAGGTATTTGGGGAATCTTCCTCCTGTAGAAGGACGTGCCCGACTTAAACATGGCCCTAGTACGCATATTGGGGGATTAGGGGTGCGAGCGGCAGTGCGGGTGCCGCGCAGAAGGGGACGCTCGCGGCGCAGAGGCCGAGGAGGAGCATATGCTCAGGCCACGAGCGCAAGCACCGAACGGGCGCTATAGATGCGTTCACAGAGAGGGCGGAACTACTATGTGTGTGCTTGTGTGTGCTTGTGTGTGTGCGTGTGTGTGTGTGTGAATGCGTGCGTGCGTGCTTGCGTGCGTGCGTGCGCGCGCGTGTGTGTATGTGCGTGTGTGTGTGTGTGTGTGTGTGTGTGTGTGTGTGTGTGTGTGTGTGTGTCCCCTGTTGCGATTCCGCCGGGGCAGTCACCTTCTGCCCAACCGCCGACGCAAAACGTGCGTGTGTGTGTGTGTGTGTGTTGCGTGCGTGTGCCTGGTGTTAGGGGCAAGCCGATCGTGCGGAAACATCGTCACCGGGAATCCTTGCGTGTCCATGTGCACACCACTGGCGGCTACAACCGTATAATTGAATAGACGCCTCCCTGGACACTGACGCTGCCGTGACGGAGCACCCGTGGGAAATCGACAACCATCTTGAACGGGCCTTCTGTGGCTACGAGATGGCAGGTCGTCAACATTAGGGCCAGCCGTCGCATGGAACGTATGAGAACGAGGATCTCCAACTGCCCATTTCGCCGCATTCCCAAAATTATATCTGATGCGATCGGTGTCGGCCTGAGCGAGATCGTAGCTGCTTTCATGATGTACGTATGTGTAGCTCGGGGGGATAAAGTAATGAGGAGGAGGGAATGATACACCCGATGGCCACTAAGAGAAGGAGGCGAAGAAATGGGAGGAGGAAGAGGGGGGAGGCGAAGACAGCACGATGGAAGTGAAGGGTGGAGTAGGACGACGACGAGGGGGAATGGAAGGATACGTGGAAGGAACAGCACGAGCAAAACATCAGAAGGGATGAAGATGCGACGAAGAGAAGCGATGGGCAAGAGCCGATCTAGACCCTGCAGGACCGAGAAGCTTTTCGGCATTATTTGCCTGAGCTTCCCAAGAGCAATCTTACTTCGTGTCTGAGGCGGAGGGGAGAGGGGGGGCGGAGAGAGGAGGGAGGGGGGAGGAGGAGGAGGAGGAGGATCCGAACCTGCGTCAGTATGTTGACACACATGATTCAAGCCTCTGGAGGCCGCCCGAGGTGAGGGGAGGAAGAGCCACCCCTTCCTCCCAATCAAAAGGGGGCCTTGGGGGAGAGGGGGTATGCAAGGATAACGAGAAACTTGAAGGCTTTGCGCCTGCGCCCCTGCACACATACGGTGCACGGATGCCTGCCACGGTCACCCTGCTGGCCCAAACCCGACACTGGCCTCTGGCGCGGGTGTCATCTTGCACTGAGCCTGGCTGTCGCCGATGATGACGCAGTAGTTTTTCGGCGTATCCTTTTTAGTCTTGACTACCTGGCGGGGGGGAGGAGGGCTTCGCAGAGGAACGTGTAGCCTGAGAGTGCTCTGGCGTTGCTTTGGAGCGTCCGTCACTCGACATGAAATACACACGTCGGACTTGTCTTTGAAGTTGGACAAACACTAACGCTGTATGAAAGGGGTTGTTGCACGGGATCAGTCTGTGTGAGCACTGCCCGATACACGAAGAAATACACATCAGCCAGATACCCGAAGCTGATGTTCCCAACTGGGCGTTACCTCAAGGATTCCTACTCCTTTCGCGGACCAATGCGGTTGCGCCGCCTCCACGCGGCGTGTGGTCGCTCGGATCACGGTTCCTGGGACCTCGCTCTGATGGCTCCTTCCTAGACGTTTGCTTAACCTGATTACTGCTATGGTGGCGTCAACTCGGGAGCGGCCAAGAGGGGGGTGTCCAAGAGGGGGGATGCAAATCATGACCGGCGGCATGTGCGCGGCCCAGCGGGGGGGGGGCCAGGGACGTAATGAAATAAGAAGAGGCGCCATGAAATCTGGGAAAATATCATGACCCCCACCATGATATCAACCCCCTCAGTCATCACCCCCCTCTTTGCCGCTCCCGATCAACGCGAGAACACCATCTTGACTGGAGCCGCACCGGGATCGTACGAGCACGGTCGATCGGCGAAGTGGTCCGAACACCGTGCCGTGCAAGCGACCGGATGCTCGCATCGGAGGGCCACGGCGCGCGTGCCAGTGTGCGGGCGGTCGAGCCAGCCCGACCCTGGCTCAGAACACAGAGTGCTACGTCGCAAGATGCCTTGGCCTACAACACGCCACCCGCTCCGCATGCCACATAATCGACGTGGTCAGATGCTCGCCAGTGAATGGACGTAGAGCTTGCCTGGTTTCGGTTTAGAAAACTGGTGGTGGCATGGAACTGGCGCGTCTGACCGAAGCCGCAGTTGCGCACTGACCACCTGCGGTGCACCTGTGCTGTACACTCTTCCTCAGTTGAAAGGTGCATTGACCCAGATGAGGCGAGCTAGAGAAGGGAAACATGAGGAGGAATGAGACAACCCTCCTCCTCCTCCTCCTCCTCCTCCTCCTCCTCCTCCTCCTCCCTCTCCTCCTCCTGGTCCTCCTACCTCTCCCTCTCCCTCCCTTTCCATCCTCCTGCTCCTCCTCTTCCTCCTCCCTTTCTCGGAAATGCGGAAACGCTCCCCGCACCTTGAATCTGGGATCGAACGCATCCCGAATGGTTAGATCTCCTGGGCATGTTCCTGTCCACGTTGGAAACCCTCTTGGATCAGAAAAAGGGGGTGAGAACGAAATGACCGCAACCAAAACATCGGTTTCGTTTTCGGATCGTGCCGTGCATGCGGGCGACGCGAAGCTGCGCGAGGGAGACGATGTGGCATCTATGGCTGTGGCCAAGTTGGGCAAAATCTGGGCTCCTGCCCTGCGAGGGCGTGAAACGTCGGACTTGTACCGCGGTTGTCCCGTGGGTTGTCCCGTGGGTTGGTCCCGTGGGTTGTCCCGCAATTTCTTCCGTGGATTGTCCCGTGGTTGTCTCGTGGGTTGTCCCGTTGGTTGTCCCATGGTAGTCCCGTGAATTGTCTAGTGGATTGTTCCAGATTTCGATTGCATCCCGATACGAGTTTATGTTTGCATCCCGATTTCCACTCAGAATTGCATTCCAAAGTGCAATATGCCACCGTGCCTGCGGCACGTTGAGGCGTGGAAGAATGCTAAGGGCTGCCTGGCAGGATTCCTGTAGTCTCCTAAGGGCCCCCCACCCGCTCCGGTAGCACCCATCCGACTGCACCGCCACTATCACCAGGGTCTCTGGGCGGCCATGGTGCCTCGCTGGCGCTCTCCCTGATGCTCCCCAAAGATTTCATGACAACCCAGGAGGCCCCCCAGACGGCCCGAGAGGGCCCTAAGTTGCTGAACGATTGCTCGAAGACGCCCAAGATGGCCTCTAGATGGCCCAAGAGGCCTCCCAAGAGAGCTCCAAGAAGCAAGAATCATTGACAGCCCTTCGATTTGTCAAAGGTTTTGGCGTTCTCGTCTTTTCGGCTTTCCGACGACCTAAAACGGCCCAAGAGGCCCCCAAGACCGCCCCAAAACGGCCCAAGAGGCCTCACAGAGAACTCCAAGACGGCCCGAGAGCGCCCCAAGACGGCCCAGAAGGCGCTCCAGACGGCCCCAAAAGGAGTCCAAGAGAGAGAACACGAACCGAAAATTGACGGCATGTTTTTTTCAATACGGGGTCCCAGGAAGTCCCGACCCTCTCGCCGGGACCGGTGTCTCATCCCGAGTCCTTCTTGACGGTCCCGAGGCCTGGCGAGGGCCCCCCGAGGCCCAGAGTGGCCAAGACCTCCCGCCCTGCTGCTCTGCACGGCGCGATCCTGCCTGGGCCCCCTCGCCCTCCTCCCAGGGGTGAGGCCCTCGTGCTGCTGCCCCGCCCCGTTGAACTCGAAGCCGAGGGCTCGGGTCGGGCGAAAGGGGGGGATAGCAAAGGGGGGGTTTGAGAATCAGCTCACGTAGCTGATTTTCCCGGCGCTTCCCAGCGCCGGGAGGCGCCCGTGTATCGAGGAATGGGCCCCTCGGTGAGCCCGAGACCAGCTGCATGCAGCAAATTTCGTAACCCCCCCTTTCCCAATCCCCCCCTTTCGCCCAGCCTGAAGGGCGCGCGTCGGGCCCCGGCGCCCCGGGGAGGCCCCAACCCCCGCGGGGCGGGGCGGCGGGAGCTGTGCGAGAGGCCGCGGCGGAGCTGCGAGAGCCCGGCGAGGGCGGCCACGCCCCGCGGGCCCGCAGAGCGAAGGCAGCGGGCCGACCTCTCCGCGGGGGGCCCGCGGCCGACGGGCGGCGCAGCGCGGCACGCCCCTGCCGACGGGGCGGCATGCTCCCCGTCCTCGCTGCCCCTGCTCCTCCTCGCCTGCCCCGGCATCGCCCACCTCGCTCCTCGCTGCTGCTGCCGCAACCCGCCGACGTCCCTCGCACTCAATCCCACGCCGAGCGGCCGAGGCTGCAGATCCTTCGTTTGGCGCGACGGGCCGCAACTTCGCGCGACGGCGGGCGTCGCGCAGAATCTTCGGATCGGCACGCGGCATTCCCCCACAGGCGCGCAAACGCCTACCGGCGCCTCAACACCATGGCAACGGGGGGGCAGCCCACACACACCCACAACGAACCCGAGTCACCGACCGGGCCGACGCTCAACCAGATGTGCCACAAGGCACAAGAATAAACCGCACGCGCTCGAGGGGTGCACGGGCGGGGGCAGCCCCCCACCCGCGAAGGGAGCATCCACGATCCCGCCCTGAGCCAAAGAGGGCCACGGGGAGAAGGGAGGGGGGACTGTGGAAGGCTCCCTGTGGCCTCTGTGGAGGAGGGAGTGATGGGGAGGGTCGATGATCTGAAGGTCGGTGAGGAGCCCATGGCAACGGGGGCAGCCCCCTCGCGAAGGGAGCGTCCAATCCCGCCTTGAGCCAAAGAGGGCCACGGGGAGAACGGAGGGGGGACTATATAGAAGGCTCTCTGTGGCATCTGTGGAGGAGGGAATGATGGGGAGGGTCGATGATGTGAAGGTTGGTGAGGAGGGCTGCCGAGGAGGGTTGAGGTGGAGGTTCGGGGAGAAGGGTTGAAGGAGAGGGTTGAACAGGATAATGGTTCGAGGTGAAGGTTGAAGAAACTACGTAGGTGAGGGGGCTTGAGGAGTAAGGAGAAGGGGGACGATTACTCATCGCGAGAGGATTGTTGAGGAGGTGAATAATTGTTAGATTATCCTCTTCCTCATCTCCCTCTGAGTCTTCCTAGTCAACCCTCCTCAATCCTCCTCAACTGCCTTGCTCAGCGCCCCTCCTCATCACGGTCCCGCCTCCTCTCCCTCAACTCTCGTCCTCAACACTCTTACTAAATAGAATACCATAGGCCAGACTTCCTCAACTCTATCTCATGTACACGTACATGTGGGAGGGATGAGGTCTCGTCGTTGCTGTCGCTTCGAGCGCCACCGGACGAAGAGGTGGGTCCGCACAGTAACATTCAAGCTTATGGCTGTTGGCCAACCCTTCCGTCTTCGAAAAGAGATGGGAGTGCCTCGACGCAGTGCTCCATTGCCATCATGTACTCCGCGGTGCCCCCGTACATCCCGTTGTCGATCTGTGTTGCCTGCGCCCGCCGCATGCGGGACTGCGCGGGCCGTGGGCTAAACAACTTACGCTGCACATCCTGCGCGCTCGACAAGGGACTGGTCATGCACTCGTGGCCCGAGGCGAAGCCACTGCACGGAGCAGCTGGGTGTGCACACCTGCGGCATGCTGGTGTCGTGACGCCCTGTGCGTTGGTTTCGGGCACCGCATGGATCCTTCGTTGAGGGATGAAAAAACGACCCTACCCTGGGTTACAAGTGCGTGGTCTGTAAGCCTCCTGGGAACCCCCCAAAACCTAGAGGACGCCAGGACGCCGCACATCACGCAGGGTTCACCCTGTCAGCCCACAGGAGTTTTAGCGCACAGCGCCTCGTAAACCAGGGTAGGGGCGTTTTTTAAGCCCTTGACTTCGACCTGGATGCTCGATCGCTCGATGCCGGGCGATCTGGGGATTGCCCCCCGTTGATGCAGGTCGCTCGAGATCGGCCGACTCCGGGGCCACCGGCAGAGCTCACCCCGAAACGCCCGCGCGGGAGTCGCCGCCGCGCCAGCACGGCGCGAACGTGTCGTGCACATGCCCCGCACCTCCTCGTCCTGTGCCCGCTCCCGCTCCTCCCTCGACCGACCTTTTTGTCCCAGACCATCCTGCCTCGAAGAGACAGCGCCACGCGTCCCACCTCTCCTCTTCTCCTCCTCCACCTCCTTCTGCCTCCTATCCATTCCTCTGCCCTCCGCACCCATAGGGAGCTCCACCGAAGGCCCCAGTGGCGGTGTTCGCAGGCGTCTCCCTCACCCAATACAGCGCTTCGTGGCCTCATCGGGAGCTCCACAGAGGGCCTCAGTGGCCGTATTCGCAAGCGTCTCCCCCATCACGCACAGCGTTTCGTGGCCCCCTAGGGCGCTTCACCGAAAGTCCCGGTGGCGGTGTTCGCATGCGTCTCCCCCTACTCAGTACAAAATGTTGTGGCCCCATATGGAGCTCCACCGACGGCCCCATATGCGGTGTTCGTATGACCGTATGTGTCTCCCCCACCCAATTCAGCGCTTCGTGGCCCCATATAATCTCCACCGAAGGCCCGAATGGCGGTGTTCGCATGCGCCTCCCCCACGCAATACAACGCTTCGTGGGCCCCGTAGGGAGCCCCACCGACGGCCCAAGTGGCGGTGTTCGCATGCGTCTCCCCCAGTCAGCGCTTCGTGGCCCCACAGGGAGCTCCACCGAAGGCCCGAATGGCGGTGTTCGCATGCGCCTCCCCCACCCAATACAGCGCTTCGTGGCCCCATGGGGGTTCCACCGAAAGCCCCAATGGCGGCGTTCGCATGCGTCTCCCCCGCCCGATGCAACGGTTCGTGGCCCCACAGCGAGCTCCACCGAAGGCCTCAGTGGCGGTGTTCGCAGGCGTCTCCCTCACCCAATACAGCGCTTCGTGGCCTCATAGGGAGCTCCACAGAAGGCCTCAGTGGCGGTGTTCGCATGCGGCTCCCACATTACGTGCAGCGTCTCGCGGCCGAATCGGGAGCTCCACCGAAGGCCCCGTTGGCGGTGTGCGCATGCGTTCCCCCTACTCAGTACAGCGTTTCGTGGTCCCACAGGGAGTTCCACCGACGGCCTCAGTGGCGGTGTTCGCATATGGCCCCCCCATCAAGTACAACACTACGTGGCCCCATATGAAGCTCCACCGACGGCCCCTTGGCGGTGTGCGCATGCGTCTCCCCAACCTTATACAGCGCTTCATGGCCCCATAGGGAGCTCCATCGAAGGCCTCAGTGGCGGTGTTCGCATGTCTTTCTCCCGCCCAGTACAGCGATTCGTGGCCCCCTGGGGAGCTACACCGAAGGCCCCAGTGGCGGTGCCCGCATGCGTCTCCCCCACACAGTACAGCCTTTTGTTACATTATACGGAGCCCAATTGCGGCGCACCCCGAACACGTTTCGCGGCCCCATAATGGGTTCCACCAGAAGCCCCAGGGGCAGCGCCCACATGACGGCCCCGCCCGATATCGGCACACGTTCGCAAGCTTCACGGCTCCATGAGAAGAACCCCCCGACAGCGACACCCACAGCGACGGTACCCACGACTGCATATGGTCGGGTCTGTCGCCAGGATGAGTTGCTGATTTCTCAGTTGTTATTGTTTTTTTTTTTCTTTCTCTCTCTCTCTCTTTCTCTCCCTCCCTCTCTCATTCTCTCTACTCGCTTTACTCTCTCTTTCTCTGCATCTCTCTCCCTCTCTCTCTTTGCTTCTCCCTCAGCTCTCACACGTGATAGTTTCAGCTCTCTTCTGCCTGCCCTCCCCGCTCCGGTCCTTTTCTTCCTCATCCGTTCTTCCGCAGAAAGCCAGAGTCCATGCTCTGACGGCAGACTGCCTACCTTGCATTGCGCTGCCTGTGCTGCCCCTTCCTGCCCCTTCTCAGGCGAAGGGTTTGGAAGAGAAGAGACACTTCCAGACCAATATGTGCCGCCCATGACAACGGGCGCAGCCTGCGCTACACTGCCGCGCGCGCTAAGTATCGCAATCCTCTCAAAGCCTACGATGCGCAAGAATCTCGGCGGCTCCCTCGGCCTGCATGGGTAATGAGGTCAACGTCTCCCGCCGCCAGTGTCGCAGAGCAGATGTGGTACCATGGTTTGCCCTCGTCCATGGTGTCGTTCGCAAGGCAGTCGGCGAATTTGTTCCATTCACGCTTCTGCCGAACAACGGCATCCTCAACATCGGTGGCCAGCCTCCAACCATGCTCGAACGCGTCGAACATCGTGCGGGTTATGCGGTCGAGTATGGGTTTGAGCGCAGAGTGCTCACATGCCGCGGTGCCGCTCACAACACCAGCCCATGGGCAGTCTGTGATGGAGGTAGACCTTCCAGATACGCTCCCCCAGTGTATGGTACACGCATCTTCGCCATGCTCCTCGAGTAGACTCTCGAGCGGGTGCTCCGCGAGCTGTGTTCACACCTGGTGATCGTCCTGGCGAGCTGTTCCAATCACCGCCTATGTCCATGTATGCTGGAGAGATGAATCACCGCTGGGACAGGTCTAGTCGAGAAAAACTGGGAAGTACAACATCCACTCCGTTCGGGGCTGGCACCTGTCGTTGCGTTCCCTCCGTCCATTTCCTCACACTGTAACGAAAACATATTCCCAGTCGCGTCAGTATCCTTGGCCCGCAGATTCTAGCCCTTCAGTGCGTCTTCGCTTGTTGGAAGACTCCATTGGCAACTATTCCAACCACTCGCGCTTGCGGCGAACCGAAGGGCTTTTCAAGAAATTGGCACCACCGAGTGGCATCAACATCTCCTCCCTCCAGACATGTTAGGGAATGCGGATGTGGAGAAATTGCACCTGGAAGCACCTTTTCCCCCCTTCCCCCCCCCTCTCTCCCGCCTGTTTTGATCTCTAACCTCCACCATCTACTTTCCTCTCTCGAAGTCTCTACCCTCGAACTCTTCCACGCACTTGTCCCGCATTGGCACTCTTGGTCGTACCGTAGGATTGTTACTCTCTGGCTATCTCTCTCTCTCTCTCTCGCTTCCCTTCTCTGTCTCTCTGTGTATCTTGTTTCTCTGTTTTCACGGTGCGCACTCCAGACAGGCACAACACTGCATGATATGAGACCTCCACTGCTTTGTCTGTATGTGATGTTTGCTACTCTCTCTCTCTCTATATATCTTCAAACTCTCTGCACTCTGTGCTGTCTCTCTCCGTCTGTCTCTGTGCTTCTTTCTTGCTCTCCCCCTCTCTCTCTTTCTTCCTTTCTCTATCTCTCTGTGCTCTAGGAAACGAATGATCCGGCCGCCCGTCGACATCGGCACGAAATCCGGAAGCGGAAAGCAGAGAATCCGGCATTCCACCGAGATCAACCAAAATCTGTCGCCTACGCTCTCAGACTCCGCTAGGACCCCTGCTATGCAAGCAGTGATGTGGGAATTCTTGCACTCTCGGGAGCTCGGGAACCCAACAGCCCACCCAAATCGGAACGGCACTTTTGCCAAGTCCTAACGACGTCCACGATGATTCCCTTTCAGAGCAGGACGGACGGCACAGTGCCGAGCAGCAAATATTGTCAAACACGGACGGTGGCCGCTGTTAGGCAGGCGAATTTCTGTATCAAGTTGACAACGTTCACGGCGGCATCGACCACGAGTCTCGCTCAAACTAAACACAAACTGCTGCCCATCTTCGTCCCCACTCTTTCAGTACCCGTTACGATCATACCTGGAACCGATGATTGGGGAAGTAACGATTCCAGCAAGCAGGCACAGCCCCGACAGCAGTGGCGAACTTCCTATGGCAATGAATCTCTGCCAGCCGTCGTCGCGGCAACATAGCGGGGTTGGTCGCGTAAGACCGGTGCTTGTCAAAATTCCTTGTGAACTTGTGCACGTCCATACGCTCATCTTGGATCTTGGAGTTGAACAGCCCCATTGCGAGGTAGAGGTAGCCGCCTCCCCATTATGCGCATGCGACCGCTGTCATGCACAGATGTCCGGATCGCTGCACAGACTGACCTGACACAAGGTGAAATCGACACGGCAAACCATATAGAGACCCTCAAGATGGCTCCACGCCAAAGATGCCCATAAGACTGCAAAGAAACCCGTCGGACGGCTCCCGAGAGGCGCCTGAAGGCCCGCTCAACGGCTCTGGGAGGCTCCCCGAGAGGCTCCCAGAGGGCTTCGAGAGGCCGTCAACGGTGCCACACCACATCCTTCATTGCGTGACTCCCTCCTGCTCAGACACATCTATTCCGTTTGCTCCTCCGCTGCCTACATTCATGCCGAAAGCATCGCGCGGAGTGCCCTCAGATCACTTCGAGTTTTACGTAGCACCCCGCAGTCGCGGAGAAGAGTGAGGGGGCGTCGGGGGTGAGGACGACGACAACAACAATCATTCCAAGACGGTTCGCTCTTACCTGCCCAGTGCCATTCAACACGTCGATCCCAAACCCTTACTTCCCGCCCGCTTCGTTCGTTGGGGGTATATATTTGTTGCCCGCCACGTGCAATGAGTGCACCCAATAAAACAAGGGAGGAGAGGATGGATGGAAGGGGATGAGAAAAGGATGGAGCATGGGAGAGACTAGCAGGGGAGGGGCTAGGAGCAGAACGCACGTGGCAAATCCAGACGCGCAGATCGGGCGGGTAGACCCTATCGGGCGGGTCGGGAAGGCGGACCTCAGCGACCAGGCCGAGCAAGCGGGTTGCAGAAGCGTGAGTCCAGCAGGAATCGCGAGGAAGTCTCGAGCGATGACGCGGCTCCCAAGCAAATCGCGAGAAAAGCCAGAGCGAGAGCGTGATTCCTGAGCGTAGGGGGCGCGGCGTCCGAATGAATTACGAGGCGGTCCCACGCGAGAGCGCGATTTTGAGGTACACTGTGAGGACGCATCAGGCGGGAGCAGCTGCTGTTGTAAACCGGGGGCCAAAGACACAAACTTTGATGACCCGCCACTTCCCCTCGGGAGCTGCCATTGTTGTTGTTGCTGCTGTCGTAAGCCGGGGGGCCAAGGACACAGCTCTGTGATCCAGGACGAGCCCTCCCCGCGAAAGTGTGCGGCGCTGGCCCCTGGCAGGGCCGGTGGGGGCCCGCGAAGCGTAGACGAACTCTGAAGACTTGAGAGGGCACCACGCGCGTCGCCTCCCATCCTCCTCGTGGGCACTAACAGCGGGCACGACACGAGCAACTCGGCACTCGAAGCGCAAACACTGGCGACGAGGTGCGGATGCACTCGCACCCTCGCTTCCTGTATACACCCACGCGGGCCTTTGGCGCAAATCCACGGAACTGCATTCGTCGAGGTTTGCCGACACGCTTCTGCCACTTTTGCCGAAACATGCAAAAGTGTATTTGGCCTCTTGATGCCTTCTTGTGAGCCTTGAGGCTGTCTTCTGAACAGTTTGGGCCTTTTTGGGGTCCCCTTGAGTAGACTCGGAGCCCTCTGGAAACTCAAACAGTTTGGCGTAGGTGAATTACCGCGCCGTATTGGGGACCTCTTGGGCAGATGGGCCCCTCTTGGGCCGTTTTGGAAACTCTTAGAGGCTTCTTAGGGTCTTATTGTCGTGGGGGCCTCGTGGGCCGTCCTGGTGCGATCTCAGGAGCCTCTCGAGACGTCCCGGCGCGAGTACTTCGAAATCCGTTAAGGAGCGACAAGATGGGCCTCTCGGGGCCCTCTTGCGGGTCCTCGTGGGGCCGCAGGGACGTCTTGGGGGCCTTCCGGGTAATCTTGAGAACATCTCCGACAATCAGGGCCCTCCCTGGTTGACCCTGGTGCGTCTTGAGAACATCTTGGACCGTCTTCGGCCCGTCTTGTCCAGACTTGGGGCCCTCTTGCACCTAGGCGGCGCGCCTGGGGCGGAAGTGAGAAGGGGCGGGCCTTCTCAGAAGGCTCGGAAGTCCCCCAGCCTTCTGCGAAATCTTCTAAGCCTTCCCAGAAGACAGAAACAACTTCTCAGAAGGCGCGAGGGCCTCTGAGAAGTCCCGCCGCCTTCTGAGAAGGCCTTCTCCTTCTCACTTCCCCTCTTCGCTCGCCGCCGAGAACCGTTCAAATCTTTTGGGGAGCATCTGGAGCCGGTTTGAGCAATCCGGCGGCCCGGACCCATAGGGTCGACACCGGCCCGCCAAGGCGTAATGCCGATTGCTCGAATGGACAAATCAGACTCTGTCTCGTTCTCTCTCTCGCTCTCTCTCTCTCTCTCTCGCTCGCTCTTTGTCTATGTCGCCTACCTCTGTCTCTCTGCCCCTCCCTCTCTTTTCTCTCACAAACTGTATAGATTTTATATACATACATATATTTACATACATATACTTACATACGTATATATATACATACATTTATACATACATATATATATATATATATGTATGTGCACCATTCGCTCACCTGTCGTCCCATATAATCACATGTACCGCTGTGTCTTCGCACTGACGAGGCCGCCCCCCCTCAACCTCGCAACTTCACGGTGGACTCTGGCCGGCTGGAGCCGAACGTTCTCACGAGCCAGCCGTTCTCCTCGTCCTGGGACGAGGTCAGACGCAGGAAAGCAAGATGGAGGCAGTGACTCGCGCAGGTGACGGACATACCGCACACACCTGGACTGCTCCGCGCGGCCCCCCCAAGCAAGAGCAATCGAAACCACTCTTCGCAACCTGGCGCGCTTTTGTTTTCCATCTCCTCGCCTGCATTTCCTCGGCCAGAAGCACACACAAGGACGCTCCCAACCCATACAAGACGTCTGGAAACACCCACGGGCAGGTCTGCGTCCGTGACCGATCTCTGCACCCACAGAGACGCAGGGAAGTAGTTGGGGTAGTTGCACGTCTGGCCGCGCCCAGAGGAGGGCGAGGTCTCATCGGGATCTGCGCGGCTCCCTACTCTTCTGGACTACGCTCGGCGGTAGCCAGGTGGACGAGGTCGCAATTGCATTTGGGCTGCTGGGCTGCTCACCACTCTGGTGGGACCCCTCTGGGGTACACACACGTGGCGAAAGCTGCACGCTCGAAGCATCCAGGGAGGTGGGGTGCCATCTGAAGTTGGGCTTCCTGGCAGCACTCAAGGCGGGGCAGGTTATCACTCTGCTCTGCGTGCGTCACCGCTCCCACGGACCCCCCAGGGGCGCAGAACGCGGCGATCATCGCACGCGTGTCGGCGCCCGGGGAGGGCGACGTCTCATCTGCATGTGCGTGTGTCTGGACCCCGGGTGGGGGCAGGAGAGTGGCGACAACTGAACAGCTGAGGGAACCGAGGGGGGCGGGATGTAAGTTGGATCTGCGGAACCCCACATCAGTTGCAGAACAACTGCCACCGTTGCATGCGTGGCAACATCGCAGGGAGGGCGAGGTCTCATGTGGATCCACGTGGCTCACCACGCCCCTGGCCCCACCGCCCCAGGGAGCCCCAGGAAACATGGACAGTTGAACGCCTGGCAACACCCAGCGGAATCAGACACAATGTGCCACCACTACGCTGAAGCTGCCAAGGGTACGGGAACGTGGAGACACTTGCGCGCTTCACTGTACCCGAAAGAACCACGAGCAGCGAGAAATCAGCACAGAAGCGGGAGTGTCGAGAACAGCGGAAACCCCACGGAGTGGGACGGTAATTCCCCATACTCATGCTTGCGCTGGAGGGTTCTTAATAATTTTGTTTCAAAAAAAAACTGGGCCTGCGGGCTGGTCTGGCCGCTATGTTGCCGCCGACCCTGCCCCGTCGCCGCCTCGTCGCCGCCTGTCGTCTGGGCTTGTGAGCCAATCGGTCAGCTGTGTTTCCGCCGAGACCACCTCGTCGCCGCCTCGTCGCCGCCCGTCGTCTGGGCCCGCGGGACACTCTGGCGGCTATGTTGCCGCAGTCGCCGCCCCGTCGCCGCCGTTAGGTTGCACCACACAGACTGTAAACCATAGGTTGCACCACGTCTTCTGCAACACATAGATCTCGCAACAAAGCTCGCATCACCTATAGTACTGCACACACAGTGCAAACCATGCATTGGACCACGTTGACAGCCCGACAACAGCTGGGCGACGCAACTAGCCCGATCTACAAACATATATCAGAGTGAGGGGGCCGAACGGTCATTCACTGTCCCTGGGTGCGTGGCTGAAGTGGGATTTCGCGGTACGGATTATCGTTGTTGTTGTTGTTGTTGTTGTTGGTTGTTGTTGTTGTTGTTGTTGTTGGTTGTTGTTGTTGTTGTTGTTGTTGTTGTTGTTTTTTGTTTGTTGTTGTTTGTTGTTGTTTGTTGTTGTTTGCTGCTGTTGTTTGTTGTCGTCGTCCCACCCGCAACCCGCCCTGCGAACCACCCGCGGCCCACCCCGCGACCCACCCCGCGACCCACCCGCGACCCACCCCGCGACCCACCCCGCAACACACCCGCGACCCACCCGCGACCCACCCGCGACCCACCCCACGACCCGCCCCGCGACCCACCCGCGACCCACCCGCGACCCACCCGCGACCCACCCGCGACCCACCCCGCCACCCACCCCACGACCCACCCCGCGACCCACCCGCGACCCACCCGCGACCCACCCCGCGACCCACCCCGCGACCCGCCCGCGCCCACCCCGACCCACCCGCGACCCACCCGCGACCCCCCCGCGACCCACCCGCGACCCACCCGCGACCCACCCGCGACCCACCCCGCGGCCCACCCGCGACCCACCTTCGACCCAAACCACGTTCAAGGTACAAACCACATTTTTCGGCGCCTGCGGCGGGCGTTTTTTGCATTCATTCCAGGTGGAGAGCCCGCGACCCACCCCGCGACCAACTCGCGACCCAAACCACGTTCAGGGTACAAACGACATTTTTCGGCGCCTGCGGCGGGCATCTTTTGCATTCGTTTCAGGGTCCGAACCCGCGGCCCACCCGCGACCCATTCCACGTTCAGTGTACAAACCAAGTGTTTCGGCGCCTGCGGCGGGCTGCTTTTGTATTCCTTCCAGGTGGAGGTGGAGAGCCCGCGACCCACCCGCAACCCAAACCACGTTCGCTGAACAAACCAATGCCGCACAAGCGCGGCGGCGGATTTTTGCATGCCGCCTGCGCCCGCAACGACCTTTTCAAGCCGCGCTCATCCACACCAGCCCGTCCAGCAACTTTGCCCTGGCGAGTTGCCTTGATCGGAGAAGCCGGGGAGCATAAGTGGAACAAAAGGATTGCGTTGCCGTTATCTTGGGAAAGGGGGGGAGGCAGGAGGAGTAAACAGGGGACGAGGAGGACGCGAAAGAAGAGAGGATGTAAGGAGAATGTGGGGAAAGAGGAGGAGGAGGAGCAGCAGGAGGACGGGGAGGGGGAGGAGGGGGAGGAGGACGACGAGGAGGGGGAGGAGCGGGAGAGGGGGATGATGATGATGATGATGATGATGATGATGATGATGATGATGATGATGATGAGACGACAATGGGAGGACGATGATGGAGGCCGATGAGGGGAGGACGACAATGGGAGGACGATGATGGAAGGACGAGGGGGGGAGAGGGAGGACGAGGAAGAAGAGGGAGGACGAGGTGGAGGAGGATGGATGACGATGACGACGAGGACGAGGACGAGGAAGAGGAGGAGGAGGAGGAGGAGGAGGAGGAGGAGGAGGAGGAGGAGAGCGCCATCGACAGGGAAGGTGGGGGCCACGAGGTCCGCCGGCTCGACGACGCCCGCGTCGCCCGCGCCCGCCCCCTCACTCTTATCCGCAATTGCGGGGTGCTATATATATATATATATATATATATATATAGATATATTATATATATATATATATATATATATATATATATTATATATATATCCGCCGGCCCCCTTGTGGGGCCACCAGGCTGCGAGGCGCGTGATTCGCACTTTCCTGTACCAGTTGTAGTTTGTAGTTTCCAGTGTTACAGTTCTGCTTCTTGCTGGTTACTGTAACTAGTTGTCTTCTTGCTGGTTACTGTAACTAATTGATTGACCCCGCGAGGGGGGGAGGCCCAAACGGGATTTTTAGCGTCCCCTGGGCGCGTTGTCTGAATTGCTGGGGGGGCTCGAAATCGACACCCCTCACGCAGATCCGCAGGGTCAGGGTCCAAAAACACACGGGATTTGCCACATTTCTGAAATTCAATGCCACCCCTCACGCAGATCCGCGGCGTCAGGGTCCAAAAACACAGCGGATTTGCCACATTTCTGAAATTCAGTGCCAGCCCTCACGCAGATCCGCGGCGTCAGGGTCAAAAAACACAGGGGATTTGCCACATTTCTGAAATTCGGTGCCACCCCTCACGCACATCCGCGGGGTCAGGGTCCAAAAACACACGGGATTTGCTAAATTTCTGAAATTCGGTGCCACCCCTCACGCAGATCCGCGGCGTCAGGGTCAAAAAACACAGGGATTTGCAACCTTTCTGACATTCGGCGCCACCCCTTACGCAGATCCGCGGGGTCAGGGTCCAAAAACACAAGGGATTTGGCACATTTTTGAAATTCGGTGCCACCCTTCACGCACATCCATCGCAAGGCGTGGTGACCCAAACTGCGAGAACTCCCTCGGCCCTTTAATCGCAAGGTGTGGTAACCAAGCCCGTACACCATACACGTCTTACCAATCGCCAGGTGTGGTAACCCCTCTTGTGATCAGTTGGTTTTGCTGATTGCGTTCGGCTTCGCATGTAGTTTCGATACTGCTTCACAACAACGCCAAGGCCTCATGACTTAGCTCTTCCATGGCCCATTCTCCGAGAGAGGGGGCCGGCGGCAGGGGGCGAAACCTTTACGGTATATACATATATATATATGTATATATGTACATATATGTATATATACATATATTACATAATGTCACACATGGCACAACATATATGGCATCGATTGCCATGTTCCAAGTATATTCTCCTTTCGGAAAACAGAATAGGATCGACCCCCCGGCGTTATTGGTCCCCCTTTCGGATACGTAAATCAGATATGATTTTGGCCACATGTCCATCCGATATATGAAAGCACGATGTCCCAGGACAGCCGGTATCCCCCCCTGAGGGTCCCTTTGTAAAAAAAAACTATGCGGTGACATGTTTTGTCTAGCATAGCACTGTTTCACGAATTCCTGATAAAACATGGAAGGAGGTGCGCACGCGCGCGCCGTCGCGCGCGCATGCCGAAATCCTTCAAAAACCTTCGGTGTCAGAAGGAATTCGCAATCGAGCTTCCCAAGTTTACATACACAAACACAAGGTTTCGCAACACTGATTTGCTAAAAAAACTTACGCGCGAGCCATTGCGAAATCTTAAGAAAACCATGGGTTCTTCAATAATTTCACAGAGTGCTACCAATCGGGCTTCGCGCGCGCGCATGTCGAAATCTGTCGAACGCCCTTGCGCGTGTGCCGTCGCGAGACTCCTCTGCAACAAATAGAACGAAGTGCAGACACGCGCGTCGCCGCGCGCGCATGCCGAAATCCTTCAAAAACCTTCGGTGTCACAAGGATTTCGCAATCGAGCTTCCCAAGTTTACATACACAAAGACAAGGTTTCGCAACACTGATTTGCTAAAAAAA